CTGATGCAGAAACCCGCATAAAGCCGTGCAGTTGCCGAAACCATTCCTTCGGGCTCCTTGCTTCTACGGGTAGAGTATGTGCTGTGATTATCAGTATACTGGAATACACTGTAATATGGTCCCAGAAGCCGCGCCCTCTGCGTGGTGCAGGTAGTGCTGGTAAGAGGTGTTGATGATCCTTGATGCAGCTCTTAAGCGTCGAAGGCTGAGGTAATAACCGCTAAGCTGACTTGAAATGGTAAGAGGCGGGGGACAGATGAAATGTCAACCGCTTATGAATCTTCTGTTGGCGTTGTGGTTTAGCAAGTACATGTTTCACTCCCGGAATTCCTGTCGCGTGAGCTCTGACATTTCCAATCGGGGTGCACGGCTTCACGATGCAATTACTCCGGTAGTGGTGATGGCCACGATGCATCATGGTGGCTCTGACGATGATGACGATGATGCTGATGATGATGATGCTGGTGCTGAGGATGATGACGATGATGATGATGACGGTGGCAATGAAGATGATGATGAAGATGTTGATGGAAATCAAACAGCTGCAGCTGATGATGATGATGATGACGATGATGATGATAGTGATGATGATGGCGGCAACGATGATCATAATGTTGGTGTTGATGTTGGTGATGATGATGATGACGGTGGCGGTGCTAAAGATATGAGCATGATGCTGCTGATGATGATGATGATGATGAAGCTGATGATGAAGAGGAAAATGTCGATAATGATGGTGACGATGATGATGAAACTTATAATGAACATAATTTTGCTGCGGCTGACGATGGTGATGATCATGATGATGACGGTGATGATGGCGCTTCCGACGCTGCTGATGCGGTTGATGATGTTGGTGGTGGTGATGATGATGGTGATGACGAAAATGGGGATGGAGTGATGCGAATCATGATGATAATAATGATGATGATGGTGATGACGATGGTGATGACGATGATGACGATGATGACGGCGATGACGACGATGATGACGATGACGATGATGACGTGGCTGGTGGTGAATCTGCAGGTGATGGTGCTGATGATGATACGATGATGGTGATGTTGTTGATGACCTTGAAAACAAAGACGATGATGAGGCTGGTGATGTTCCTGGTGATGAAGACGATGATGATGACGACGATGATGATGGTGGTGGTGATGGTGATTGTGATCGTGATAGTGATGGTGACCCTGTTACAAGTTCTGATAACGATGGCAACAGCCCTGCGGCGACGACGAACACGATGAAGCTGAGGAGAAGGGATTGCAGGAGCAGGAGCAGGAGGAGGAGGCGGATCTGGCGATGGACGACGGGCATGATACCAAGGACAGATGGGTGCAGGAGGCTTAGGCCTATGGTGCCGAGGCCGCGACGGATGGTGTGCATCAGGCCAAGCGAGCTCGTAGCCTGTTATCAGGCAGGGCTGAACGAACACTCCGGATTGCTCAAAAGCTCTGCTTTCATTCCTAGCCTCCACACGCTAGGGTTTCGGAGTGACCGAAGCCGACAATGCTGAAGATTGCAGAAGGCAGCATCCCCCACTAGTAGGAGCCTGTTTCGAGCCTAAGCCTCAGCCAGGAGAAGCTGTGGCAATCCGGAAGAAGGATGTCAGTGAAGAAGGGCATTTTCGATTTAGGCTACAGACGAAACCTGGACAACCAGATCCATGTAAGGAGGAGGGTTTGTAGTTTAGGGGGTAGGATTTTTCATCTAGGGTTGAGGGTTTAGGATTTAAGTTTTAGGGTCTGAGTCTAGGACCCGGGACTTCGGATTTGAGGTTACAGCTTCTCAGTCTCCTCAGGCTGCGACCAGCATGAAGGTAGATCCCATAAGCGTAGAACATCACGGCAAACATGCCTTGCTGATGGATACCAAGGCATGACAAAGAGGCATGCTTTCCGAGCAAGGAGATTTACTTCAACTGATTGAGAAAGGAGCAACTGTGCGCAGCTACAAGCCCAATGCCTAAATGCCTTTCCAACAGTTGCTGCGTATTTTTGGGCAGATCGTCATGCAAGATGCCGAAGAGGACGTCCATGTTGATGGGCAGGAAAATCTTGGCTGGGCAGGCGTGGTGAGTTTGGAAAGATAGGGATCCCGCTCGCATGCTTGTGCTGCTAGACCTCCAAGAGTGTAGAAAAGACCCGAAGTGCACTTGATCGTGACGACATACCAGCTCTAGCAGCTTTGTGTTGCACATGCGGTGGCTCATCGCTAAGGATGTTGGGCTGAACAAGAGAACAAGCCCCCTACTACGGGGAGATTTTCGGGTACTCAAGAGGCTTTGCAGCTTCGATTGCCTGGCACGGGACCTCAACCCTAAACTAGCAACAATCAAAGGGAGTGCCCTTTTTGTTGCCCTGAGTGTAGAATGCTAGAACCTAGTAATTAGAACAGGTGAACCTTCCTGAGAAATTCAGGTTCAGTGGCCGACAGCAGCATCGGAGCAGTGCGCATGAGCTGGTCCACTGCTTCATCGGCGATGACCTGGGCATGCGCAGCTCCAAGGACTCTGTGCACGTCCTACACGGTTGATGATACAAATCCTGCGTCACCTTAATGACCCTAGACTATGGGAATTATGGTATATTAGTATATTCCTAATATGGGTAATGCAGGATTTATATCGGGCACCCCAGGATGTTTTTCATCAACCGTAGTCTCAGAGGACACGGACAGACAGCTTCACCAAAGCTTCAGAAGACTCGGGGGCCTGAGTCGTAATGGCATGCTCAATCCAGGACCAGTGGCTGTTGGAGGGTCGGACTTAGCGTTTAGGGTTTAAGGTTAGGTAGGGTTTAGGGTTTACGGTTTAGGGCTGTGGGTTGAGTTCAGGTCGTTTGAATGCTTGCAGCGTGCAGAATGTAGAAGTAACATAGCGGAAATGTGTAGCTTTCTTAGCTCGCCGTGCTATCGCTCACCTAGAGCCTCAACAACAGTTTGGACAAGCATCACTTACCCTAAATCCTAAACCCTTAACTTAACCCTCAGCCCGACTCTTTGCTCACGGAGCGGGGCTTTACAGGGTCATCTAAAGGCTTCAATCACCGTGATCTGTGTGGGTTTATCTAAACCCTGAACCATAAAATTGTCTAAATTGGATGCGGCATATTGGATTTTTCGGCGTGGGTTTACTGCTATGTGCTATCTGTGAATCTATCAACGACTGAGTAACCCTGACAGCCCTAACAGCCCTGACAGCCACCGACAGCAGTCGGATGCGAACAAGTCAATGTCGCCATCCTCCGGTTTGACCTGGCATGTTGATGAGTGGCGATTTTGAGGGTGCTCGGGGTTTGCGGATTAAGAGTTAGGAACAGGGCAGTTAGTTGCAAAAAGCACAGCATGCATCATGCCAGCCGTCTTTTCATCCTCGCATTCTTGCCGAATCTAGCCAGTACAGTTCAGAAATGCATCCAAGCTTTCCAAGCTCGCGCTTGAGAAAGATTGAAGCGTCTGCCGCAAACTTTCTTGAGGTTCCAGCAAAGGCGCGAGAAGGTCTCCCAGGTCGATCTGAGACTTTGTGCTGGCAACCTCTTGAAAACAGGCTGCAGCCATGTACGCATCCGTAAGCGTTGCCAGATGGCCATGGCCACCGCCCAGCCACATCGACGGAGGTGCGAAGTAAAGGTTGCCGGGTTTTCGCTCAAGCCGTTCCTCCGGTACCGCGATGAAGGCCGCGGCATCGAAGTCTATGAGCATGTATTTGTTGGCAGTCTTCAGCACATTTGACGGCTTCAAGTCCAGATGTGCAATGCACCGCTCAACATGCAGGAAACTCAACGCGGAGGTCACCATTTTAAGTGCAGTGAAGAGTTCCTGATGTGGCAGGCTGTCCAGGTCATCGAGCGATTTGCCTCCATACGCCATCACCAATCCAGAAAAAGATGGCGTTAGGACAATGCCAAAAACCTCAGGCACCCATTCGCACCAAGACATATGGGTCAGCCAGGCCTCGCGTCGAAGTTCTAAAGCGGCTTGCGTGCTTGATTCCAGTGGCTCCTTTACCACAACTTCAATCCAGACATGGTCCCTACGAAGTCTTGCGGACGACACTTTCCCGAAGCCGCCATGCGCCAACTGTTCACCGAGTTGGATGTCGTCAAGCTGCAAGTAGCAAACTTCGTCCGCCCAGCGTTTTTGGTTTCGCGGACTGTGTTTGGAAACGAGGACTTCTCGACCGAGCAACCTGTGGGAAGCGGGCCAAAAAGCTCATCGCGTCACTCGTGTGGTACAAACCCTGACACCAAAACCTTTTCAGGACAACCTCACTTTCATAAAATGACACACTACAGTTAAAGCGAGCTGCATTAGGGCCATCAGGGGGGGGTGTTTTGGCATTGTAAAGGCCATGGGGATTTGGAATGATCGAAGATTTCATTCAAACACTGGTTGCCAGGGGTTGTTAGATTGGAAGTTCCAAACACAAAACCTTCACCACAAAACCCTGGACCCAAACCCCGCAACCCTGACTGTCAACCTTTGGCCTACAACCCTGAGATCTCGAACCAAACACCTCAAGCCATAACCCAAAACTTACACCCTAAAACCTACCATGCATTTCGACCTGATGCCTCTGGGACAACCTCACCTGTAGACTGCTCTGTCAAAGACGAGTGTCCGCGGGTTCCTGCTATTTTCTGGAGTTGAAGGCCGCGCTGGAACAGTTTCCAAATCTTGCCTTGGAGTCCTTGGCTTCGGCTTGGTCCATGACATGGAAACTGCATACCAGTTGACCGGACAGGCCGATGACAGTCGTCACGACTGAGGCTGAGCATGCTTAACTAAGCATGAAGTAGTTCTGGTCATACAAGAACACCAGACGTCCCTATGCGGGGGAAGAGGGTTGCTGCTGCCGCTCAGCAGTTTTGAGCCTATTTGCGTTGGAAAGCATATAACAAAAAACAAACTGAGTATTGCTAATGCTTCCACCGCACGTTGGCAACAACACGAGCTCAACCGTGGCCACTGCGGCGCGTCGCCGGGACTTGGAGCCTATGGTCCAGCTCGGACCAGTTGGCTTGGATGGGAGCGTGTATGTGGCCGGCCCGGGGCCCCAGCTGCGCAACGGACTGAACCGTGGCGATTTGGAGAATGCCATCGATACACGACAGAATTAATGGCTTTCTACTTTTATGCTGCTTGCATCCATGCCCGCTCACGTGTAGGATGCTGTTTGTGCACGGCAAGCTGCACGGAATGGTAAACAAATAATGCTGCACCACGCACGCACTGCTGCAATGCATTCAGCTGACAGTTTTACGGACGGCTTCAAACAAGCCTGGCTGACCGTCATCAGGAAGACAGGCTCACCATTGGAGAGGGCGATGTCAAGAAGATGGATGTGCTTGGGAAGAGGTACAGGGGAATGTTTCTACCAGGGCCCTCGCCTTCAACTGTGCAGTGAGGGTCAAGTCAATGGCAACGACCCACCATGGGGAACTGGAAATTGTGGATCTTCACTTGCACAACACCCTCGAAGATTCCCCGGAAGCACGTTTGCCAAAGCTAACTGGCGAGACCCTTTCCTTTGACAGCACGGCCTTTGGAAAGAAGGTGTCTGTTTCGGAGGTTTACTTCCTCGTCGGCGCGAGGGTTTTTGTGGATGTCAGGGGGATCAGATGTGTTCGTTTCCCACCGATCACGGAGAACACCTCTTCAATCCTCCTGCCGAACAGAGAAGACCTGGTGGTTACAGTCATGGAAGTCTGCTGTGGCGGCTTCAGTGCATGGAGCAGAGCCTGTCATATGCTGCCAGCTGAGTCGGTGCTCAAGATCGACAACGAGGGCATGGCAGTTTCCTCAACTTTGCTCAATGACCCCAGGGCGATCCTCTTTGCAAATGAAGAAGGGCAGCACTCCTTCAACACCTTCTGGGGTGAGCTTGTGGATCTACGATGGACAGCCGGCCTGCATGGTACGGACACGGAGATTATGTGCTGCTCCCTGCCCTGCCAGGCCTTTGCAGCCTCTACGAATGCACCTGGGTTTCAAGATGTCAAGAACACGGTTGCATGGTTCCAGTTCTTCCTGGTGGCCCGGTTCCTGCAACGACGTGCTATTATCTTGGAAACCCTCCCTGGCTTTGCGAGGCACAAAGACTACAAGCTCGTGGTGGAACTCCTGAAATGGGCTGGATACAAAGTAGTCTGGGCTGGCTTCCTGGACAGCCATGGCATGGTCCCAGCTGAGAGACAGAGGTTCTTTGTCATCGCTTGGAACAATGCAGACATGCCCTCTGCTGGCACACCTTTCAGGATGATGAAGATCAATGACAGGGATCCTATTCCTTGCCGAAACAGCCTGTGGGACATGATGCCGGCCGAGGTTCTCAGCACAGTCAAGTTGAGCGACAAGGAGATCTCTCTGGTGAGTAGCAGGGAACTCCTCCCTTGGTACCTCAAGGAGCGAGTGGGATCCCCGATCCACATCAGGATGGTGGACAAGGCCAAGCCCCTCCCCATTGTCCATATGAACTTCCGCCATTGCTTCGACCAATCTTGGATGGTGCTGAAGAAGAAGGGCATCCATATCCCTCTACTTTACCAAGGTGGCGATGTGAGGACACTCAGCACATGGGAACTTGCACGAGCCTTCGGCTTCCCCCAGCAGACAATCCTCCCTGACAATGAGGAAGATGCTTCCACACTCCTTGGACAATGCCTTCTCCCATGCCAGGCTTTGGTGGTGCTTGCTTCGACAATCGCCCACAGGCAGGAGGACATGATCCAGGCAGATGCCCTGGACAGATATTTGGAAGCTGCCCTCACCGAATGGGAAGAAGGATGGAGACCCTTTCAGGACCTCTACCCCATCAACAAGAATGGGTGGTCAATGCTAATCCCCAGGGGAGACGAGAATGAAATGGGACCAAGAGGTACTCTGGCAATGCGATTGGCCGGCCTCAAGGTGAACGTGGACTTCCTCATGTACGGCAGAAGCCAGGGCAGACAGCCACCCTTCTACCCGGAATCAACAAGGGTACTCAATGAGGAGCTCAACGACACCTTGGAGAGCAACCCCAGCACACACCGCCTCTACCAGGTCGAAAGGGGATACCATGACATCATCCTGGACGAGCAGGACACGATCTCCGAGGTCACCAAGAAGATTGCTGATTTTCTGCAGGTGCCACAGAATGCCCTTGCTATCTCCAGACTGACAAACCCCGACCGGGACACGAACAATTGGGTTTTGGTTGGGGGGATCCCGGATGCCTCCCATGACAAGGTCCTGGTTCTTGTGGACCCCGCCATCCCGGCTGCATGGTGGATGCCGAGCGAAATTACCAAAAAGGACCTCAAGTGCACCTATGCAGATCACCACTCGGCCCTGCCCAACCTGGTCACGATCAACGACTGCGAGATTCATACGTGGCCGGCCTGCATCCAGTCTGGTGATTTCATCAAGCTTCGGTGGGACCACCACTCAGAAGGTCAGGCCTGGAAGGAGCTGGATATCTTCAAGCAGTTTGACCAGGTTGCCCTGGAACCTCCAGCCTCCCCTGACGAAGGAGGAGAAAGCAGCCCAGGAGGCCCAGATGAAGACCCACCGGTGGATGGCGCCCCCCCGGCGACGGCTGACACATCGGAATCGGACAGGGAACCTACAGGAGATCCTGCTACTGAAGCACCACCGGCAACCCTCCATGAAAGCAGCCATGAGGTCCCACCGACGGAACCTTATGAGGTGGACTCGCAGGAGATCGTCCGTGGAATGCCCTTTCATGATGCTCCGGATCCCAAGAGGCTATGCACCCAAGAGAGCAGAGATTTGCAACGAATGGTTGGTGAACAAAATGTGCCCGCCACCATCAACTACAATGCCATCACCAGCCAGCCGGCGGTCTCCTCAGCCTTCTACCTGCACTTCCAGCACCAGATTGTTTCGATCTGCAATATGGACGAGAGGACCTTGGAACGAGTCATCCAGGATGAATGGGGCATGTTGCCACACATGGCCTATTTCACAGTGGGAACCAAGGTCCTTGGGCCACATACCACCTGCAACCAGATTGCAGTCGGGGCTTCTGTGGTTGTAAGAGGCCGACTCAGAGGAGGGACAGGCCAAGCCATGAGCAAGCTTCGGACCATTCTGGCGGCGAAAGGAGTACCTGAGGACCAGCTTGACAGCCGGGTGCAGGAGATCAAGGCCCAGATCGGTGACAAGGGAATCAAGGAGGCCTATGCCTCTTTCGACCCATGGGCCCAACTCAAGGCGAAGTGCCCCACAAGGATTATCAGGGAGTCCGAGCTCAAGCACAAGCCCAAGAATAAGGAAGTCCAAGACGACCACGAGGACCCCCTCCAAGTCTCTGACCCATGGTCCCAGGCACTTAAGGAGAGAGGAGCATGGAAACTGGACAACACCTTCTTCAAGCTCCAGGATGGCAACCACCCACAGTCCCTGGACAAGCTGGCCCATGGAGCATGTGGAATTGCAATCATCAATTAAAGAGAGGCGGAGATTCTCACGCAGAGCCAGGAGCCAATGTCAGACTCAGAACTGGCTGCCCTGGTTATTGGTGGCAAACTCACATCCAGCTCCCGTTTCCAGATCAAGAACATCGAGACCCCCTGCAAGAACAAGGATGGAGTGAGGATCTTGGTCCGAGCACAGTTGGTAAACTTTGGAACCAAGTCCATCACTCTGGCAGATGAAGCATCGGTTGTTACAGTGGATGAGATCGATGCTTCTGTCCTCTCCTGTGAACTTGTCCACGAGGAGATGGAGGCATGGGAGGATGCAGTGGATGGTGTTGTTCGCTATCTGAAGGCCAACGTGACGGGCTTGGAACGAGGCCTAATTGGTACATGGGGCCGCAGATTTTTCTACAAGTCAAAGCCCACCATGGATGCCAAAAATGCCCAGACATGCTTCCTTATGGTTCGTGTCAAGCGGGAGTTTGTGGAGCAGATCTTGAAACAGGTCGTGCAGGGTGTCTACTTTTCGCCCCGCCGAGATGATGGGGCCCTGGATACCACCTACAAAGTCATTTGGTTCCCGGAAACATCCTTTGAAGAGCTGCTGGTCAGAGCCAGCTCAGAGGCTTGCTGCTATGGCTTGGTCAGGAACAAGTCTGGCTACGGACTCAGAGTCCAATCCACTGAGTTCACAAAGCTCAGACAGAAGTGGCCACCAAGCTGGGCCCCCATTGAGGACACCCCCTACAACATCAAGGTGCAGCTCTACTTCGACGTCCAGAACCTGCCCCTCAACTGTACCAAGACAGAGGTGCAAAAGTTTGTCAACAGACTGGGTTGGAAGGCCCTTGTCCTCCGACAGACAAAGCCTCAAACTTGGACTGTAGGGGCTGAAACTGCACCGGAGAAGTTGGTTCACCTGACCTCCCATGGCACGGTTCTGATCTCCGAGAAGACAGCCAAGGGAAAGGGCAAAGGCAAAGTTGCTGGCAAAGGGAGAGATGGTAAAGGAAGTATGCCATGGTGGGTGGCAGGAAGTTCGGTCACTCCGGGAGCGCTCCTGGGACCCCAACATCCTGGTCCCCCCCAACACAATGTGGTGGCAGACCAGGAAGCCACTGAGATTGAGGACCGGCTGCAGAAGAAATTGGACATGTTTCATCAAGAGCAGATGGCTTCCCAAAAGATCTTGAGGCAGGACTTCATGCAGTTCAAGCAGACTGTTGAAGCAAAGCAGGCGGACCAGGACCGGATCAACAGCGAGGTGAGCCAGGGCATCCTCGGCCTCAAGTCCTCCCTCTCCATGGAACTGGGCCAGCATGTCCAGAACATTACGGATGCCATCAAGTCGCAACGGTCGGAGATTATGTCCAACCTCACCAATTCGCAGATCTCCTTGAAGGAAGAGTTGATGGGTGAAATGAGGACACAGATGGGCGCAATGCGAAAGCGAACCCCATCACCGGCTTCGGCCGACGACCCCAAGAAAGCCAAGCAGTGACAGCGAGGCCCTTCAAGGCCTCTTTTAATTCATCTGGAGGATTATCTGGATGGTAGTGGATGCAAGCTGGACAACAACAACCGTTCTGGCTGGCAATGCTTCACCGAGGACTTCGTGGATGAAGGCAGACAAGCTGGAAAGAGGAGTCAATGGTGTAATTCGTGGAATTCATTTATTTTCTGGGAAGCCCAACATTGTGGTGACATTTTGTCCCCACCACCACCATGGAACATTGGACAGCGTATTGGAGAAGCCAAGAACCCTGGGCCACGTCCTTTCACGATTTCCGGAATCAACGTGCAGTCCTTGAATGCTTTCTGTGACGATGGTCGCTTGATTTCCAGACATGCGGATGTATTGATTTTCAGTGAGACGGCTGCGACCACATTTGTTCAGCAGAAGGCCAAGAAGCTAGCCCAGATGGCGGGATACCACTTCACAGGAAGCCACCCAGTCCCGAAGAGGTGTTTTACTGATGCCAGGAATTGTGTTACCAAAGGCCAGGCCAGGGGAACTGCCATTGCTTCGTCCCTACCGGTTAGAAGGCCTTTCTCTGAGTGGCCCCTTGACCTATGGGAATCTTCGAGAGTGTGTGATTCCTACATCCTCACTCCATCGGGCCCGGTGCTCATCATTGCCGTATATGGACTACATCAGGGACTGGAACACCACTTGGAAACCAACGAGGCCCTTCTTCGACAGGCAGCTCTCCGGGCATCCTTGGTTCAGTGCCCGGCAGTCATTGTGGGAGATATCAACTGTGCCATTGAAGATTTGACAGCTTGGCAAGCCATGCAAGACAATGGTTGGATGGATGCAGCTATTTGCCAGCACAACATGGATGGCAAGCCAGTGGAACCCACCTACAAGAATACCTCCAGACTGGATTATGTTTTGCTGAACCCGCTGGCCCGTATTGCCTTCAGGAATTTCTACTTGTCGGAGCAGGATGAGACCGACCACAGATCGGTCAATGCTTCCTTTGATTGGGGACTTATTCCGACGACCTGCTGGACTTTCAGAACACCCACTGACATGAAGCAGCTCAAACTTGCACCGGCTGAGATGGAACAATCATTCATTCCGGGATCCACTCTGCAAAAGTTGGATATGGCGATCAAGAACCAGAATGTGGAAGAAGCCTGGACCCTCTTTTGTGGAGCCTATGAGAATGCCATTGACTATGTCCTTGCAAACAAAGGTGCCAACCCTCTTGGCAGAGCTTTCAGGGGCAGAGGCCAGACGGTTTTTGCCAAAAAGGATACAGTGGCGAAAGCAATGGTGGCTTCTGCGAGGAATGGGGAGTTCCAGCCCAGTGGTGATGAAGATTCCATCATGCTCAGACAGAGGATACGGCAGATCAAAGATTGGAAGCATATATCCAACAGAGAACAGCCCTGGAGAGGTTGGGAAGTCAGAATGGAACCTATGCTATCCAAAGATCTAGCGACGAAACATGGAATGCGATCTGCCATGCACCAGGTTTCCAGCCTTCGTTCCAGGTGTGGTGGACCCAGAACCACACAGATTGGTTCCCAGTGGCACCACCTCCTACCCGGATGGCGAAATTTATGCGAGATGAACTAGTCAAGGATGAAGCTCACTGGAGAAATGTGCATAGGTCGAATAAGGCTAGGCATGTGTCTGCTGTGTTTGATGAAAATTGGAAGCAGGGTGGTGCCAAGTTTTATAAAGCCATTCGCCCACCGGGTATGCCACGTGTTGACTCTTTGAATGTGGTATCTGACCACAGGATCCAGGCTCGGAGATCGCGCCGAAAAGGTTGTCAGATTTGCTCCATGCTTGATGACGAGTTGCAGCTGGTCAAAGTTGGTGTTGTATGGAAGCAGGGCAAGGCCTCGGCATATGTCACTTCAATCAGGGATGGAAAAGTTTTCCTCAAACCCATCAAAGGCTGTTTTGTTACTGGAACTATCACACAGTGTCGCCCTTCGGCAAACCCTCTTGAAATCCTCCAATCAGCTGAAGACTATTGGTCGGACTATTGGAACAACTACAAGGATGTGGAGGTGTCTTCTTCACAGGTTCAGGATGCTATTTCTTCTTTGCCACAGCTGGAACAGATGCAATTTTCATTTACGGACATGGACCTGCAATGGGCTCTTTCGGCATTACCTATGAACAAGGCAAGAGGAATGGATGGCTTTTCCAACTATGAGGTCAAACACCTACCTCTTCTACTCCGGCCATACTTGGTTCGCCTCTTCAACCTCTTTGCTCAAGGACACTGGCCGGACAACCTTTGCAAAGCGAGGATGGCACTCCTTTACAAAACACAAGAGGTGGGGGGAATATCATCAACGAGACCCATTACTATCTTGGCCACTGTGTACCGTATTTGGGCCAAGATTGCTACAAGGAAAATGATGCAACATATTCTCCCTTCACTTCCTGAGACCCTCTTTGGGTCAGTTCCAGGGAGATCGGCTGCTGATATGACCTCCAGAGTACAACTACAACTTGAAAAGTGCCTCCTCCAAGATGAAGAAATCGCTGGGATCTCACTGGACTTCTCCAAGGCTTACAATACTCTTCCTCGCGAATACCTCCAGAAACTCAACGACAGATTGGGACTCTCTGGACTGTGGCAAACCTATTCCTCTTTCCTGGGTGGATTACAACGTTTCTTCACCTGTGGTCACCACTGGGGTAAGGCTATCAAATCGAAAGTGGGTGTCCCTGAGGGTTGTCCTATTGCAGTGGTGCAGATGATCATTCTTACATGGAGCTTCACCAATTTGGTCAAAGGCAACACTGGTGTGCCGATGCACACCTATGTAGACGACTGGATGTTGCTATCCAAGAACATTCTTCTCCTCAAGGATTCGGTCCTGGCCATTGATGCCCTGGCTCAGAAACTGGGTCTTATACTTTCTCTGCAGAAGTCTTCGGTTTTTGCAACCTCCACCAAACTGGTTCGGCAAGCCCTGGGGCTTTTTGCACACCACGGCATCAAGGTTGGACAATCCAAGAACATGGCTGGACTTGGGATCAACTTCCAAACGGCAAAGGTGGCCTCACTTGATGTTCGTAACCATCGGTGGATACAGGCGAAAACTATTCTGGACAGACTCCAATACATGCCTTGGTCTGTACAGAAGAAAACAGATATTATTTGCAGAGCGGTCATGCCATTGGTGTTCTATGGAGTTGAACATGTGTTTACTGGCAAGGACTTTCTCCGGGAAGTAAGGGCGAAGTTCAATCACACTGTTTGGGGAAAGAAGCAATACCATATCCATTATCTGGCACCGGTCTTTTCTGGAACTTGCTATGAGCCACTCATCTATTCTGCAAAGAGACGTTTTCGTGCAATGTTGAGGAGCCTGGTGACTAACCAACAACAGGTCATGGATAACTGGCTCCTGTCGTGCAGAACGGGAAGCTACTTCAAACGAAAGACCAGAGGAGCAGTTTCCATTTTCCAAAACCAGCTTCATGGATTGGGATGGGCCTTCATGGAAGATGGTACGTGCACCACGCCCAGAGGATGGACTTTCAAGATATGGGATATCACGACCAGCCGGTTTGATGATGCATTGCAGGTTTCATGGGAAGATACACTGTTGCAATTTCTTCGCCCAAAACAGAACCTTGATGACCTCTCTTCAATCTCACTTTTGAGGAGCCAATTCCCACGGAGTAAGGACCCTTTGCTTGAAGGCTTTATGAAGAAGGTTCGTCTAGGTGGCATGTTCCCCAACAAGCGTCTGTGCCATTGGAAACAGGAGGTGGACGAGAGATGCGACTACTGCGGCCAATTGGACACCATGTATCATCGTGTTTTCCACTGCCCAGCAACGGAGCATCACCGAACAGGAAAAGACTGGGACGTTGTCAAAAAACTTGCCTAGATCTTTGCTCCTTGGTGGCATATACCCACAACTGGACCTTGAGGAATACCATCAGGCACTTGATGCTTTGGATGGACCGGATGTTACACAGATCCATAACCCCGATGACCAGACACTCCACTTCTTTACTGATGGTTCTGCGGTCTTTTCTGAGTGCCCTATCAGACGCTTGTGCTCATGGGCGGTCACGCTGGCCACGCCCCACAGCCATGAGAATACTCCTATTCACCTGGGTGTCCTTCCGGGCCGGAAACAAACTGTCTTCCGTGCTGAACTCTTTGCGGTCAACACGGCCATTGCCTCGGCTTTAAACCTCAAAGTTTTCTGTGACAACGAGTCGGTCGTCAGGGATGTTAACGATATCCTGCACTTCGGATACAGAGCACACAAATGGAACACACACCCTGACCGTGATCTGCTTCGTGTCACTGCCGCTTTGCTACATGGCCGGGATAAGAAGTGCATACAGGTGATTTGGGCGAAAGCGCACAGGGATGTCACAGATGCTGCTGGTGCCTTGGACCTCTGGCAGATTTATCACAACAACTGTGCAGACCGACAAGCTGGTAGGGCGTCTTGCTGTCTTCCTCAATATATCCGTGAAATGAGAAGGGACATACACACTACACTGGAGACTGACCTTCAATGCAGAGATGCTTCTGTACGTACACTACGCGCTGTCATGGATGAGTTCTAGTTTTTTATATTTGGTGCTTTCCTGCTGCATGCAAAGTCTGTGGTCGTCTCACGTGTCATCCACTGGGGACCGCCATGTCAAGTGCACGACCTAAACACTAAACCCTACCTTAACCCCAAATAATAAGGAACCCTAAAGAGGTAGGTTCTTCAGGGTTAAGGTAAACCCTAAACCCTAGCCTCAACCTTATACCCCCTTCACGAGACGAGCTCCCTGCCGAGAACGGAGTCGGGTTGAAGAACCTTTGCCGGCGCGGCATGGGGCTTGGGGTTCAGGGTTAAGGTTTTAGGGTTAGGGTTTAGGGTTTAGGGTTTGGGGTTTAGGGTATAGGGTTTAGGGTGCATAGTTTGCATTTTGGGCTGTGATAGACGGCAAAGTTGCACCGAGGAATCAGTTAAGGAACAAGAGCACAAACATAGCATGCTTGAGCGGCATCAAGGCTGAAAAAGACAGCATGGGAACCCTGAGAAGACCAAAAATAATAGCAGGGAGGAGTCGCTGCAGATGCTACGAACGGCTGCCGGAGTCATAGTGCGAGATGACAGGATGGAAAAAGAGGGCTGCAAAAGAAGGCTTCACTTCTACAGGACCAATCCGGACATGCCAGCCACCTGGCCGGAGAGAAAGCGGTATTCGTGTACAACCCAAACCCCAAGACCACGTGAAACTCTGCATCGTCATTTCTTTACCCTGACATGACCACTAACATGACAAGATGTCGGGTGCCTGTGGTGGCTCTTGTGCTGCTTCCACATGGAAGGAACCTCCCGAGCTGCGGGTTTCGGATGGCATCATGACCATCATCGTTCTCACCCAACGAAACACCACCACCACAGTCGCCGCCGCCACCACCACCACCACGACAATCACCACCGCCGCCGCTGTCGCCACCACCACCACCACCACCACCACCACCACCGCCACAACAGTGACAACAACAACAACAACAACAACAACAACAACAACAACACCAACGATAACAACGACAATAACAACAGCAGCGGCAACAGCAACACAACAGGGCACCGGCACCGGCACTGCCACCACCACCACCGCCGCCCTCACCATCGCCACCACAATCACCATCATCACTGCCAGCCATACGACCACCCGCACCAGTATCATTGCTTTGACCCTCGGAATCTTCACTACGACTGTGACGTCACTAGGACTAGGACTGAACATCAGCATCCGCACAATCACTATCACCATCACTAGCGAAATCCTCGCCGGGACCTAGCAGCACCATCATCACGCAGCCACATCATCACGAAGTTTCTGCATTGGCGCCACTACAACCATCATCAACTAGGTCAAAACCATCAGAACCACCACCACTACTATCATCGTCATCGTCAGCAGTATCACCACCACCATCGTCATCATCAACATGACCCCCATCATCATCGTCATCACTATCATCCTCATCATGGTGGAATGAGCATCATCACCACCATCATGCCCTCCGGTTCTGGCGCAGAGCCAAATTCGAAGTAGTGATCGTATTATTTAACAGAAAAGCAGTAATCATAACAATGAATAATAACAACAATATTAAGAATATTAATAACAATAGTAATAACAATAATAATAATGATAATAATAATAATAATAATAAAAATAATAATAGTAATAACAATAATAATAATAACAATAATAATAATAATAACAATAACAATAACAATACTAATAATAATAATAACAATAATAGTAATAATAGTAATAGTAATAATAATAATAGTACGGGCAATGCACAAAAAAATAAGAAGAAGAACCAGAGTAGCAATATTAACTCGATACGACAATACATTAGTCCATTGCACGCTGCCTCATGCCCCATCAGGTGGTAGAACCACCTTGGTCGTCGGCTAGTTTTGACGGTGCATGGTCCGGCTGGGAAGGCTTGCAAAATGACGTCGATGCTGACGCTCGAGGCAGCAAACCCTGATTATCCACCACAGGCCAACGACTCCTCATGACCAAGCATCCGTAACTAAGGTCAAATCCTTTTGGGCAAGGCAAACTTCTCACTAACTCTCGCGATGTGGTCCGTGCGTCAAGCCTCTGCCTCAAATCTTACCAAATGTGCAGCCCACTCCAAAAAGTCAGGCCACTCGAAGAAGTCAATGCCCACGACGAGGGCAATGAACGAGCCGAGGTGCCACAAAAAGGACCTTCTGCCCCAGCCCCTTTCAAGAATCCAAAACATGGAACCCCCAAAAAGACTTCCTGCGAGGAAATGGCTTGAGAAGGGACCGCGGCAAAGGAATATATCTTCTGGATTCTTTGAATATTTGGAACATGGCGATCGGCTCAGCTGTGATGAGAACTCTGGTGATGATGAGGTGATGATGACGATGCTTTGATAAGATGTTAGGCTAAAGATTGTTCACTATCAGCACTAGTAGCAGCAGTCGAGCCGGAGCAGCAGCAGCAGCAAGAGGAGGGGGAGGAGGAGGAGGAGGCGTCGTTGTAGTCTTTGCAGTGGTACTACCCAGTGGCAGTGGCGGCAGCAGTACTAATAGTAGTAGAAGTACGGCTCAAGTTTAGCATTGCTGCGGCTACTACGAGGACGACTATGACGACTACGACTCCGAAACCGACTGTGGCCTTACTCTTCCTACTACTGGTCTGTTGTGACTTTTGGCATTGCTTACGGAACGTGGACATGATTCTGCAACTCGTTTGACCCTCAATGATGTTGTCAGGGCTCATGTTGCAATCGACCGTATGCGAAAGCTAAACCACGAGCCCAACAGTCTCAACTCGATGCCCAAGCCTGTCGCCCCAGCCACAGAAGGCCTGGCTCTTGCCCTGCACAAGGAGGAGAGGTGACTTCGTGGTGTAGGATCCCAGGGTTGGTTAGGGCTTTTGGGGATTAGGATGCAAGTTCAGGGTTCAAGGCTTAGGGATGTAGGGTTTAGGGCTCAGGTTGCAGGGTTCAAAGTTGAGGGTTCAGAATGGCCACGGAAATTGCGATCTGCTTACGCTCAGAGCCAGCTGGGATCAGATCCAAGCGCTGACCCTGGAAGCAAGACTCTAGGTAGGAGCCTTCGTGCTTTAGCATAAGTCGTTTGGGGGTATGCTCCATTATAGTATGATTTTGACAAAAATTAACATTCTTCTTATGATTATTATTGATAGTATCAGTACTATCATTATTGGTACTGGTAGTAGTAGTAGCAGTAGTAGTAGTAGCAGTAGCAGTAGCAGTAGCAGTAGCAGTAGCAGTAGCAGTAGCAGTAGTAGTAGTAGTAGTAGTTGTTGTTGTTGTAGTTAACGTTGTAGTAGTAGGAGCAGGAGCAGGAGCAGGAGCAGGAGCAGGAGCAGGAGTAGGAGTAGGAGTAGGAGTAGGAGTAGGATGTGCGCATGGAGTAGGAGTAGGAGTAGTAGTAGTAGTAGTAGTAGTAGTAGTAGTAGTAGTAGTAGTAGTAGTAGTAGTAGTAGTAGTAGTAGTAGTGGTAGTGGTAGTAGTAGTAGTGGTAGTGGTAGTGGTAGTGGTAGTGGTAGTGGTAGTAGTGTAGTGGTAGTGGTAGTGGTAGTAGTAGTAGTGGTAGTAGGTAGTAGTAGTGGTAGTGGTAGTGGTAGTGGTAGTGGTAGTGGTAGTGGTAGTGGCAGTGGTAGTGGTAGTGGTAGTAGTGGTAGTGGTAGTAGTAGTAGTAGCAGTAGTAGTAGTAGTAGTAGTAGTAGTAGTAGTAGTAGTAGTAGTAGTAGTAGTAGTAGTAGTAGTAGTAGTAGTAGTAGTAGTAGTAGTAGTAGTAGTAGCAGTAGTGGTAGTAGTAGTAGTAGTAGTAGTAGTAGTAGTAGTAGTAGTAGTAGTAGTAGTAGTAGTAGTAGTAGTAGTAGTAGTAGTAGTAGTAGTAGTACTTGTTGTTGTTGTTGTGAGTAGTAAGTAATAGTTCATTTCTACGCACATCCCTCAAATTTGCAAAACAGGTACACAGCGAAAGGACAGCTGGATCTACTGCGACTGTATATAAGTCATTCGCGACAGGAAGCACATGCACCTACCTGACTGAAAGCTGATGGGGACCTCTGAAGGACAGGAATCTGCGTAAGAAGCATTAAAGAGCAACAAGAGTACTAGGTGAGATGATGTCCACCGATGGGATCATGGTGATATAGCACAACACCACAGAAGCCTGGGCTGCCAAGTACAGCGACAATGCGGGCAGCATCGTCGAGAGAGAGATGCACTTGATGGTCAGGAGGATCTGCGTTGAGGGTTTAGGGCTGCGGCTAAGGGTAATCATGGTCCCGTCTTTGAAGTGCGAGGTAAGCGGAAAAGGCTCAAGCTTCCCCTGCAACACCGCAGGTCTGCATCGTCGCGTTATTTAGAGGGTCTTGGCTTTCTGGAGGAATTACATTGGCTTTTGGCTTTTGGATTTGCCGGGATCGAGGGCTCCAGGTGTCCAGGTGATGTCTAGATCAAGCATGCCATTCGGTTCTAGATTATGTAACCTTGCTTGGTGAGCTGTGAATGCCATGGCTTCTGAAGTGATGCCGCCTCGATACCAACTTTTCCCAAATTCCCGAGACGAACTTCTGAAACTCATGGTGCCCACAGGGAGCTGTCAAAGACCCTGAAGCCCCAATATAGGAGCCTTAATAATTAGAATAGGATTTTGGGGGTATATTATACTATGATTATGATTAGGAACACGCAAAACCCTATTCTAATGATTCAGGCTCCTACATTAAGTGTAAACCCGATCGAACACCGAACTTGCCTCCGTTCGCACGTGCTCCGGCTTGGGGTACTTTGGGTTGCACTTGTACCGCCAGATATCGTAGCTTGGGTTCCTGCGTCGATGATATGTACTCAGGTCTGCAGGACTCTTGAAAGGCTCAACCACAGCGAGTCAAAACCCAGAACCCAGCGAATCCTAGCAAACCCTTAACCGTAAACCCTCGATCAATCTCAAGCTCTCAAGCCCCGAACCTACATCCTATCCTTCATCCGTCCGAGAAGAGATGCACCTCAATTTTAACAGGGATCCTAAAGCCCAAACCACTGTAAGATGCCCCTCGCCCCGGCGGCGGTCCAGTAGAGGAACTTGAAGGCCACCGCAGACATCCCCAAGCAAGACGTGAGGCCGAGGATGGTCAGGACCACCCACATGGCTGAGCGACAAGGTCGGGGCATTAGCTCGTTTGGAAGGTTCGAAGCTAGTTTTGATGGCAGCTTCAGGGCTTAGAGGTAAAACAACTAAGCCGTGCTGACATCGTGGTAACTTCCCGCCGTGGCCCCAGAAGGTCGTAGCTTCTCGACAGATCCCTGCATTCTTTTGACCAGCGACCTGGACCTGAAACCGTCCGTTACCTCCCAAACATGGCCTCGGGCGGTTTCGGGTTTCGGGTTGAGGCCTTAGGGTTTAGGGTTTGGGGTTTAGTTCGGGTTTTTCCGGTCTCGAATCTCCAAGTGATGGCATGCTGTTCGGCAGCAAGAGGGGGGCTGAGACTCTAAATCGATCACCCGCATTGAGACGACCTGCAGTATTTTGCTCATTTTGCTCAACCTCGGCTCTACATCCCGAAACCTTCCGACCTCAGCACCTCTTGAAACTCTCCACGAAATCCGGTTTAGGGCTTAGGGTTTAGGGATTAGGGTTTAGGGTTCGGACTCTGTCGGTCCAGGGCACTGAAAAGGTTGGAGCCGAACGCCGTGGAAGCCTCGCAGATCATGGCGTGCGAGGACCTGCGGATGCAGAGCTCTAGAGAGCTATGGGATTTCGGTCTGGAGGCTCGGGATTATCTATCTGGGAGTTTCCGAAAATGACCCGAATATAGACCTTGAATAGTAGGATCCTTATTATAAGGACCCCCAAAACAAGGTATATACACGGAAGTTCCTATCTGGGGTTTGCAGCTCAAGTCAAGTCCTGGAGCTTCAAATGTAGCGCCCATCACGCTTGGAGTTGGGGGGGTTGGGGATGACTTCCCGTGCTTGCCGTTGCGTCCCTGGCTGGCCAAAAAGGAAGGGCTCTCGAATGATCTAGGCCAGAAATATCAGAGCTTGCGGATCATGACAACAACATGCCTGACATAGTGGAAGCAAAGGCATGCAGTTGTGAGCCATGACCCCAAGGCTCCTCAGAATCCGAACGCGAGACTCTCTTACCCTTACCTTCTTTTCTTGCTCGCTTTCCCCTCCACCGTCTCGACCGGAAAACCTTCTAAGCTTAAACTTTCCCCGTCCACCACTGTTGAGTCAAGCAGCAAAGGAGTCGCGGCAAGGAAAACAAGGGACGGGCCGTGTAACCCTCACAACAAATCTTTGAGCCTTTAAATCCACACGGAGCGATTGAACTCCTTGCTTGGCAGGGTACGAAAGCTTCAAGAATCCAAAGCTTGACCTCCAAAATATCCAGACTAGACACCAAGTCTAAGCAAAGAGTCTAGGTCTGCCCTACCCTGGGCTCAAAGCGGCTCAGACGACTTTTCAACTTCAGTTCTGATGGCAATGTCGCATGTCTACGGTTTGCAGGAAACCAGAGCAAAAGACTGCAAAACACAGGAACGGCAGGAAACGCAAACTAATGGGGACAGAAGGAAACCGGGCAAGAACCAGCAAAGAAGATGGTTAAACAACAAAAACTAGTGAAATTAAGAAAACACAGGAAGTCCCTTGAACAACTTGAACCAGCTAGGAAACAAAGGAATACAAACACCACAACCGGCAACCGCCTCGCGAACCTAGGAAAGCCAAGAAAAAAACAATGAACACAAATAAAGGAAACCGAGCACCAGACGGCACAGAAGCTGCTGAATGATTTCAAGTTAAAATTAACAGAGGTAGATGCTTCTTGCTAGCATTTGTACATCACACGGACGAACAACTTTCTGAAGAGTACAAGCTGGACCCTGCAGACTACATAGTCTCCCGAGACATACAAGACGGAGGAGAGAGGCATCGAAAAGTGGAAGCCAATTCAATAGCCCACACGCGCTTGAGACTGCACTTGTGCATACTCTTGCGTCGAAGGCTACCGGCAACAGATTCTGCTCTTGCGTCATCCTGGTCCATGCACCCACTGCACTTTTTTGGTGTTGCGCACGCCTGCAGCAAAGCACGCAAACGAAAACTGAAGGCCCGGCGTCAGGGAAAACGAAAAGCTCGGAAGCCCACGCGGTGAAATCACAGACAGTTCGAAGGCAAATCAGACTTCCATAACGCATGTTCTATGCTCTACTCTTCACACGGCTAGCATGACTCACAGCGCAGCTGCTTGGCGAATGGCTGCTGCTGCATCGCCCTGACCACCGGCGCAGAGCGAGATTTGCGAGAGAATTGGATTCTGGGTGTTTGTGTGTGTGTGTGTGTGCGTACACATACATACATACATGCATGCATGCATGCATGCATGCATACATACATACATACAAACATACATACATACATACATACATACAGACATACAGACATACATACATACATACATACATACATATTAACACTCGTATTTCTCTTGATGCTTTTACTTGTTTATGTATCCTCTACCATATCTATACAGTGGAAGCCAGAAAGATGGAACCTCATTATCCTCATAAGGAGTCTCAGCACTAATCATCCTTGGACCTCAGTATATACGGACTACAATGGAATATCATACAAGATGCATGAGGCCCGAGAGCCTGAACCCTGATGCCTTCAGCCCTGAAAGACCCACCAGGGCACATTGTAGGGCTCAGGGTTTAGGGATGTAGGGGTGTAGAGTTTGCTTAACCCTAAACCCTGTTTCATCATGCCACAGCATGATGGGAAGAGCCCAAGCCTCGACTAGCCGGGTCGTCCAGCCAGCTGAAAAAAGGACGTCTCGGGTATCCCTCATGAGCCCCGAAGAAAATGCCCTAAACCCCTAAACCCTAAACCCAAAACCCAAAACCCTAAACCATAAGCCCTAAACCCCAAACCCAAGAAACGACCTTACTTCCCCGGCCGGGGCGCCTTCAGGTTGTCCTCTGCCATCTCGACAGGGGTCCTGGAAGATCGGGAGATTAAAGGGTTTGTGGTTGATAGATTCCCAGAAATTTCTACAACCCTTAATTCAGGAGTTCGAATATTCCTTTTTGGTCATATTAAGGATCCTGCTATAATTTAAGGGATATTCCTTAAGTAATGGATATTGGAGTCTATGGGTTAGGAGTTTAGGGTAAAGGGTGGTGAGCCACGGTTCGGGTTTCACAGCTTCGTAGGCCACTCGGGAGTGAGGGGCTATGGATTCAGCGAAAGCCTGCGACAAAGTGGGGCTGTCTCGAAGAAATCGCTCTGTAGCGGCTTTTGTTGAAACAAGCTGTAATATTCACTGCCACTGCAAGGCTACAGCTTCAAGCAAATCAGCTCAACACTTGCTACAGTACAGTGTGACGGCAGCGCTTAGCGCTCCCCCTGCTTGAAATAGAAGTGCTCACATCAAAAGGTACCGACAGGGCCTTCTCTTCAATCAAGCCCAGAGACTCCATATTCTTTAATTGTTGGATATTCCTTAAACCAGAGTAGGGATCCTACTAAAGTTTAAGGTATAGTATATTCCTTAATTAAGCGATAGTGGGGTCTTTGGGAGCACGGCAAACATGAACAAATCATCAACCTGCAACTGAGTAACTGCCAACCGACGAAACCTGGGCTCCAAGCCGGAAAACCCTACTGTAGGGGCTTTAAAATGGTTTGAATAAGGTTCCTTTAAATGGTTTCTATGAGGGTTACTACAAGGGATATTCTGGTGGGTTTTGTTTAGGGGCCTTAATAGTTTTAACGGGGCTTCGGGGGTACATTATACTATCATTATAAAAAGGAACCCCCAACATAGTATTGGTAGTCATTTAGGCCCCTGTATTAAGAATTCCTAATACCCTGAGCCCCAGAAGAAATGCTATGACCCTGAGGAAGGCCGGTCCTTCCAAGGTTGTCGGACACCGTGAGGTCAGAGCCTGAAACACCAGGCTACCCAGAGACGCCAACATCCCCTAATTGAGGAATATACCCCTATGTAAGGGTTCCTTAGAGGGCTCCTTTAAAGGGATCTATAAGGGATCTATAGGGTTCAGGAGACTCCAATATCCCTGAATTAAGGAATATACGTGAAGTTAAAAGTAGGATCCCTGATATGATTTACGGAATATTCCTTAATTCAGGGATGCTGGAGTCTCTGGGTGCCGCGTGTTTGGGCTTGAGAGAATTCTGCAGTATACTACGCCATGAACCCGAAACACTCAACCCAGAACTAATACCTCACACGCTGCAGAGATGACTTCATGCCGTAGTCTGGTTTCACAGTAGGCATGGCAGGACAGGAAAACCCAACGAAAGCACCCTTTAGACGCACCCTATATCAGCTCCTCTCATGCTGTGCACCCAACGGCTACAACGGCAGGCTCTATCCACTGCGCGCATGGCATCCTTCCAAGCCAAAGCCTTTAAACACTCAACAACTTCAGCATGCAGTATATGTATATTGAACACGCATATGGTATGTGCAGTCTTTGGGGGGCCGTGCGTGCTTCCACCAGCAACTGGATGAGCTGAGCTTGCCCTGGTCGCGGACAAACTTCGAGTTTATGGCAGAGTGTGAAGCGTGGGGTTTAGTGTCGGGATTGTGGTGTCGGGCTTGAGGGTGTTTGGGTGGCTTCTGGCATGAAAGGCAGAAGCCAATGAAAGATCAACAATGGATTCCTTGTCGGAGAGATTGTCTGGGTGGGACCTGTGCATGTTTGCATTGATAGCTTTCACCATCCAAGAAACCTGGTTCACGATTTTGGCTTCATTTGCCGGCGCCTCATTGCACAGAGTTGAATAAGCAACTCCACCCAGTTCACAATCCTGCCCTCGCAGATCTTCGCTGTGATCCGAAGCTTGGAAATTGAAACCGGCAGCTCCTGCACCAGAAGGCCTTCAACTTTTGCCACTCTACGAGGATGTCGCGTAGCCGCGTTAGCCCATAACAGTTTTGCGGCAGGGAAGTGGCCAAACGATTCATGGACCATGCGAAAGCCGTAAGAGCTTCACCCGAAAGGCACTACCAACCCGAAGACCGGAAGACACCGGCAAAGCATGCAGACTGCCTGTCTTTGCCGCCCAGTGAAGGGGGATGGCACCACCTGAACTACGAGTACATAGAGGATCATCGAAAGGGTCTCTTGCAACCAGCTCGGCTGAAAGGTTGCGCAAGCCCAGTCATGCCAGCTGCGGCAAGTGCCAAGGGATGTTTGCTGTGAGGCTTGCCGGCAAGGTAGCAACGAAGAATATCTTTGCAGACCCTGTCATGCTCTGGATCCGGTTGATCTCAAGAGCACACCCGCATGCACCGGCTCGTCAAGAAGAGTCAAAGAGCGTCGTTGGCAATTCATCATGCGTCTGCGAATCAGCCATCAAACATTTCAAAAATGTCGAGGACAATGCAAACGACCAGAAGCTGATTCAATGGTAAACAAGTCGAAATCAAAGCCAGAGTCTGCCAACATAACCGTTACAAAGCTTATCCCCTTGGCTCCCCTCTGGTTTTCCACAGCAGTCAAATCCGCTTCGTGCAGCTGGCAGGCAGCTGTTCATGGCGTTGACGTTTGCCCGTGCTTCAAGCAGGACCTGCTGCGGGGAAGAGCCAGGGAACCAAGCAAGCAGGCACGGGCAGTAATAATTTCAAGCCCATAAGGTTTCAGGCTTCGGCTACCGTATGCTCCGCTGAATCAAAGCGTGCCCTGCCGTGCCAGTTACGATGCTGCAGCTGTATCGCTTTGGGTTCTTCTCGTCCGGAGAAGGCCTTACATGGCTTTCAATAGCCCCTGACTGTGACTATCAGGTTTCAAAGATGACGACCTCGACAGTAAATGGGGTCCATCATCCCGAAACCCTAAACCCCTAAACCCTAAACCCGAACTAAACCCGAAACCCGAAACCGTTCTCAGAGTCTGAATCAGAAACCCTTTTTGAGCCTCGATCGTCTCTCGGACTCCCTCAACGGCTGCGAAGTGCAACGGCGTCCTTGCAGGACTTCAGGCAGGACAGCAGGAAAGAAAGTCCTCAATCCGCTACCACAGTCACATCCAGCAGGAATCCGGCCAGTAACAGCATCTTCGGAGGCTCTTTGCATTGTCATGAACTCCCCTCGTCCACGCTCCTTAAATCCGTGTGTCAATCACGTGGGGCGACCTGCATCCTGATCTATACGGCCGACCTACTTGGTTACGAGTCTAGCGACCAACCTACCACCCTATCTTGCATACGTATATTGCCTACGTATATGTATGTGCTCATAGACATGTGTATTTGTATCTACCTATGTATCTGTATACATCTGTATATGAATATATATATATATATATATATAAAGATACACATACATACATACTATAGTACTGTAGCTTATGATGTACACAGGTCATGTACATACGTACACCGACACACACCTGCTTACTTTGCTGATACATGCATGTCTGCCTGCCCGTCTGCCTGCCTGCATGAATGCTTCAGCAAGCAGTGCAAATTGTATCTACAGCTTCTACTGATGCCCCACAACAGACAAAAGCCCCTTCCAAGCGATCATGAACCACATTAAATTGCAGGCCCCCACTCCCGTGACCTGAAGTTCAAAGCCGCAGACCGTAAACCCTCAAGTTCAATCTCAAACTGCTATCAAGTCTACACCAGAACCCTACCCCCTAAACCACCCTGAACCTAAACTCTAAATCCCTAAGCCTCCACCCTGAACCCCGAACCCTGAACCCGAAACCACCCTAAACCGAAACCACTCTAAACCGAAACCCTTAAACAAACCCCTAAGCCATACATCCTAAACCCACTGACCAATCGGGGCTCCCACCTCCGAGCCAAGGTCTGAGCATCCGGGTTGGCCCGCGCGGCCAGGAGCACCTGCAAAACCTTCGCAGGCATGGTATATCATATTTACATATATATATATATATATATATATATGTTTATATAGTACTATGCTACGTTATATTAGCTTATACCGTCCTTTATGATATTACATGTTCTTTTACAGTTTGGGGTTGGGGGGTTTCGGTTGAGGGTTTGTGTGGTAGGATTTGGGGCTTACGGCTTCGGTGTTTAGGGTTGATTGACCTTAATTCTTAAGTAACCCTTTGTGCCCTCTTATTTTGGGCGTTTCCGAAAATAGGGGACCCTAACAGAGTACCCTAAATAGTAGGATCCTTATTATAGGGACCCCCAAATAAAGTACCCCTGTTTTTCGGAAACTCCCATTTTGGGCACTGTAGGATTTGGGCCGGCAGCGTGGATTGTCCGGGCCTAGAAACGGGGCCATTTGTGATAGTCCGAGAGGCAGGTGATCTGCTGTGCTTACTTTCTGCCACACTTTCCTGTGCCACGATCTTGTCAGTTCAAAGATCAGAAACAACAAGCATGCAAGTTCGATTTCAATAAACGAACGGAGCTGAAAAGGCCAAACTTCTCACCTAAGCCCCGGAACCTGCTAGCTGCGCACGCGAACCACCTCTTCGCATGCACCTAGAGCCCAATTGCAACCCTTTTTGTCCAAAGCTGTTGGCCTAAGCCTGCAAACCTCAAAGCCCAAAAGCCCCATTCCAATGACCTAGACGCCATGTGAACTTGACGGCCTCAACACCTCCAGCATGCTCTGCTGCGAGGTGCACCGCCTGCTGTGCACTGTTCAACTGCTCAGGTTTGGGGGCTCAGCAGAAAACTCAAACAACCAACCACCCAAAACCAACCATACAACCCCTACAGGCCCCTACAACCTGACCCCCAAAAGCCCCTGTCAGGCTTGGGGACGCATGCATTCCGACTTCCCAGGCTTTGTGGGAACCTCAGGGCTTTCCAAAGCTTTTGGGCTGAGGGGTTTCGGGCTTTGCGCTTTCTGACTTCGGGTCGCTGTAGCACTTTTTTGGGGCTCCGGGTTCAGAGCCGGTACTTTGGGATTTGCGGAATGCTATCCTAAACGGCCTAAACCCTAAACCCTAAACCTTAGCTCCTGAACCCTCGTCCTAAAAGCCAAAGCGTGTCTTTGAGAAAAGACGCAACTCTTTTCCCGGGCTACGCAGTCTTTGTCCGCGGGCTCGGCAGGGAAAAGACGAGGCGCAGGAAACCAGCCTTTGCAAAGGAAGTTCAGGCTCTAAAGGGTTAGTGGTTTGGAGTTTAGGATGTAGGGGCTATGCAGGGCTTAAGTTTAGGATCTCAGGGTTTAACGGTTTAGGATTTATGGCAATTAATGGCCAAGGCTCGGGGTTGATGTGCTTACTCCGGCGTCGGCGTGCACTGAAGAGTTGATGGAACTTTGCAGCGGCCAGGTCGCGCATTGGTGTTTAATGTATTTGTGCAAGATGGTGTGTCTGCACACGAAACATACATCCGAAGCCACATACACATGGCAACACTCAAAAGCCAGGCAGTGGTCGTTAAGCCTACAGGACAGGATCTTACAGGCCATGGCCAGCGAACCTCAAACGGCATAAACCCGACGAAGACGAAATATGACTGATGATCGTAACAGCGAGTGCAATGATAATGATGACCTAATTAGTAGCACAGCATCACAAACAAAAACGACTGCAAAAAGAGTAGACTGCATTATCCGTGAGGCACGACGCCTCAGGCCATGCAGAGGTGCTTAAAGGATCATGGGACTTAGTAACTAAGGTTATTAGTAGGGGAACTATACTTATAACTACTTATAACCCCAATTAAGGTACTTATAACCTTACTTACTAAGTCCCATGATCCTCCAAGTGGATCTTCCTGGGACCAAGCGGCCTGCACTGTGAGCGATGCCTGAAGCACAGAATCGAGGATGCTCAGGCCGCAAATGGGGTATGGTTTATATTATATTACTAGTATCCCATAATGATATTCAAAAGGAGCCCTATCTATACTCACCAAAACGGTATTTTAAACCATACTTCATATAGCCTAAAGCCCCCCGAAGACTAAATCGATGAACCAGGTTTTGGGGTTTTTAGGGATCAGGGGTCTCCGAAACTCCTCAACCGTAAACGAGGGTTTCGGAGTGGTAACGCACAAAATCTGCTGCGTCAATTGCCTCGAACCCGGTTCGAGTTTCTAGGTTCTCGGAGCTTTGGATCTGGGTCGGAGGGTTCCGGGTTTCCGGCCCAAGCTGTCCGGGGCATGGTCAAGGTTTCAGCTTCTAGCCTTGCGGCACAGGATTGGCGTAAACCAGCGGCCACAGGCAACCGTCGTCTCTGTGTTCAAAGTGCTTGCAAACATGGGATGCGCGGCTCAAGACCGTGGTTCAGGGTGCCGGGTTCATAAAGGTTTAGAAGTGCCTCCAAGGCTAAGGCTCCACAAGGGCTTAGTATTTAAGGGTTGATCAGGCAGCCGTCTCTGACCGAGCTATACACGCTCATCACACAGGACTGAGTGCAATGGGTTTCGGTTGAAACTCGGACCAGTTCGGAAACCGTGGCAGCTTACAGTTCTTTAGCATTGCAGGTGAGGGGCTATGGCACCCGGTATTACTTCGCATGGCAACCCGGAGATCAGTCCCGACATCAGAATCCCTGCCATATTGATGTGAAACGAGCTTAATCAAAACCCAACCCCATGCCCTGAACTCGACGACATACCAAAGCCCCTAATGCGGTTCAAAGGCGGCCAGCGCGGCGAGCAATAGCACAGTGGCCCAAGTGCGGCAGGCGGCACCCGCCACCAGGGGCAAGCGCTCCTTGAAGAAGACCCCTGATTTGCAACCACCCCACCCTCCTGGACAAAAGGCTATGAGAGGGAGTATCATCTTCATGGCCCTATTGAAGGTGGGCGTAACAGCCGAACCTCAATGCTTCTGTGCCCAAACCCAGGAAATGGGACCTACCAACCGATCCATCAAGCGCGCGAAACGCAGCATGAACACATCAAAGCCGCAATCCACACCAAACCCCCCACCCAAGCGCCAACACGGAAAAGCACTATTTAACTCTTCAATGCCAAGATCTCCAAACCCTCAGCACTAAATGGCTTGAGCAAGACAGTCTGAGTAGCCGAAGCCAAGAGGGCTGCTGACGCTGTAGATGCCAGTGGAAAGGTAAATGCCACCTTTGAGCGAAATAGTTCATGATGGTAACACTACAGACAAAGATGATGGCGAAGATGGCAATCAAGACCGGGCCTATGGCTCAGGCGTTCGGGGGGAGCCCTCTTTCACATCGCCGTGGGCAAGGGTTTGTAGTATTTGGTCTTGAGCTCTGCGAGGAGCACTTTTCACGCTGGCACGCCTAGCTGCTTTAGGATCTACTTCCACACATTACTTGGGTAGTTGTCAAAATTAGGGTCCCTTTTTGGGTACCTTAAATATTGGGTGCCGTATTATAATAGGGACCCAAAAAGGGACCCTAATTTTGACAACCACCCACTTGACAGACATTCCGTTTTGCTTTGGCTGTCACGCCAAAGGACCGGCAGCCCGAAGCCACTAACCAATGTGCGGGCAGTGTGGAGTGTACTTAGAGGATCAGGGGACTTAGTAAGTAGGTTATAATCGGGGTTCTAAGTCCCCTAAGTAGGGTTATCCTAATTATAAGCTACTTATAACCTTACTTACTAAGTCCCATGAGCCTTTAAGTAGAACCGGCCCTAAGGCGCAAGGTTCGAGTCTCAAACTATCGCGGCCCTTTTCCGCTTCCGCTTCAGGATATGCCTCCTGAAGACACCGACTAAGTCAGCATAAGCACGTCTTAAGCCCTCTACAACATGAACTATTTGGGGGTAATTTGCATTCCTCAGGCTCGTCATCATTGAGCTGAGCTGAGGTTTCCGAAAATAGGGGGCCCTAATATAATGTTATGTAGTACCTTTAATAGTAATTAGGATCCTTAAAATAACGACTCCAAGATAAGGTACACCTAATTTTCGGAAGCTCCTCTTTGGGTCCAGGTAAACCCTGAAAACGGAGCTGCTCATCTTCAGAGCAGGTCACGTAGGTCGGGTGGAAGCCGGAAATCCAGAGTTTCCGCCTCTCGCGCGCCGGGGAGGAACTGGAGGAGCCCCAATCACCCCACGGTTCATGATATGGGTTCCTTTAGAGGGATCTATAAGGGTACCTTTAAGGGGCTCCTTTAAGGGATCTATAGGGGGTTTAGGGTTTAGGGCTTAGGGTGATGATATAAATCCTGTATTACCTGAATGACCCTAGACTACGCAAGTAATGGATATTCCTTTGATATGGGTACAGCAGGATTTATATCATTGAGTAGTTCCTCTTTGCTTGAGGGTCTAGTAAAGGGGGATTAGAATGGGGTTTTGGGGTATAGTTTACTGCAATTATGATAGGGAACCTGAAGAAACAGTTTTCGTAAGTATTCCGGCCCCTTGTTATCTAGTAAAATGCGATGAACTGGTTTATCGTGTTGGGGATTTCGGGGGTCGGGCTTTCGGATTTTTGCATCGAAAGGTTTTCAAAAAATCCCAACCTTCGATGGTGCTAAGGATGTCAAAACCTAGATCTTGCGCACCTCAACTTAACACTGAACGAATTCCTTACTATTCATGTGCATCAGCTAAAAGCCCTTGAACCTGAACCCAAGACGATAAAGCCTGGACTCAAGCCTTTCGAGCCCCAGGCCCAACACTATTGGAATCTTCCTTACAGCCTGGAGTCCTTCGCTCTGAGAACCGCTCCAAGATCCTAAAACTGTATTATATACCATATGATATTATATACATATGTATGTGTATATATATATATATATATATATATATATATATATATATATATATATATATTTAGCATGCTAAATATGATATACTGTGGAAGACTATGTATCCTCAGCCGAAGCCCTGAGTCCGAAACCCACGCGGTGTGACTGAGCCCTCGCATCCCAAAGGCCTGCCCCTGACAAGCCTCAACCCAGATTCCCAAACGCCCGATCCCAAAGCCAAAGACGTAAACCCCTGAACCCAGACGGAAAATCGCCGAAGATGCAAGACAGTCGCCTGGAGTACAGCAGGCTCAAGGCGAGGAGGAAGCACACAGTGCTGTCGGCGAAGAGGACATAACCCATGACATCACCACCGGGCTTCCCTTTGATCAGGGCTTCGTTCAGTTCTTCTGGCATCGGCTTTCCGGGTTTAGGGCTCAATGCATCTCTCCCAGCCTCCCCATCCAGCGTGTATGTAAATAAATATATATATATATATATATATATATATATATATATAATATATATATATATATATACGAATATAAACACAGAGGCAGCACCGGCTGTGAGTATACTACATGTTGGGAGGCTACGAAGAGCTTCTTCCGCGCAACCAGTCTGTGGGTGGCTGTCACAATTAGGGTCCCTTTGTGGGTCCTTATTATACTACGGCACCGAATATTTAGGGTACCCCAAAAAGGGAGCCCTAATTTTGAGAACCACCTCTGTGGAAAAGGAAGGAAACCCAAAGCCAAATCATCTCCAGGCTGCCGCTGCTAAGCTGGGCCATGGTGTAGAAGGAGGCTGGCGCCTGAAATCAAACGGTTTTGATAGGGGTCCAGTTTGTTTTGTCTTTTTTATGGTTTTATTTGGGTATGTTTTATGGTTTTCTGTGCCTGGATTTTTGATAGGGGCTTAAGGTTTAAGATGGTTTAGGAAACTTTAGGGCCTTAATACTGCAGGGTTTCGGGCTTCCTTTCAAAAGCCCTCTGTGATCAAGTCGACCAGCTGATGTACTCACTGCTCGCCACTCAGCTGACAGCCCGGCGGAACACATTCACTGCCAGCTGCACCAGATGCACTCCGAAGCTCACATACCACTTCAGCAAAGTCGTTGCAAGCCCATGCCCCGATCCCTACGCCGACGCCCACACTACTGCTTGAGAAGCAATCCCTTGATTGTAATCCCTTGTCCTTTTTTTTGCAATCCCTTGTCCAGGCCATGAGGACGGCCATGCCGGCATGCGGGGCCACGGAATCGCGGCTCCGAGAAAGGAACAAGCCTCGGCAGTCAAATCTCACAGCATCGCTGTTGCGCTTTGCGACCAGTGCAACAGTGCAACGGTAAAACACTGCGAAGACCTCTATGGAACTATAGTATAGAATACTAGACCATAGACCATAGTATACTAAAGTGCACTATACTATTCGAGATGGTGGATGCGATCCTGAGATTAGGGCAACCAAGCGACGATAGAGCACCGCGAGCTTGAGGGGCACATACCTGTAGGCCAACTCAACAAACCCTAAACCTTAAACCTCTAAACCTCCAAACCCCAAACCCCTAAACCCTAAACCTCTAAACCTCCAAACCCCAAACCCCTAAACCTTAAACCTCTAAACCTCCAAACCCAAAACCCCTAAACCCTAAACCCCTAAACACCAGGTGTTCTTGACACCTGGTGGAAATACCGGCATGGCACTCGCTTCGTGACTCGTGGGCTGCCAAAACCCGTTCCCGCCGCTTGGAGGAGACATCCCTAGAGACTCCAATATCCCTTAAATAAGGAATATACCTTAAATTATAGTAGGATCCCTAATATGATTTAAGGTATATTCCTTAATTTAGGGATATTGGAGTCTCTGGGTCCTGCACTTCGAGCTACAGCAACCCGGGATAACGAGAGCAGGGAAGCCTGATTGCTACTAGCTCACAGTTCCAAGAGGCAGGGTCATGGTGAACCAGAAATGCCCGGACATTGTTGCCTGCTGGACCGCGGAAAGAAGGATATGAAGAGGGCTTGTTCAGGTGAAGGACAGCTGAAGCTGCTGCTAACATGACCAAATTGTACCAACCCATACCTCTCGTGCTGAAAAAGGCGCGAGCTAAGACTTCACCCTTCTAGCTTTCTAGAAACCATTGCGAATCGACTCGGCGTGAAGGCACACTTCTGCCCGGAAGACTAGCAAAATCAAATGAGATACAACACCCCGCCCCTTGCAAAGCTTCAGAGCTAAGGAAGCGAATTCAACATCTCGCCACAAGGGGAACGGCATTCTCATAGACAATAAAATCTACCTTTGGGAGCTGCGCGTCTTTGAGGGCCGTCAAGCTGTGACCAACATTACGACGGGAGTGACAGGAAGTCCTAAGGCATGTTACAGAACTTCTCATAAAGAAGCGCCTGCAACCAAGCTGGACCCACGGCGAAAGAGGTAATGTTCGTCATGCCGTACAGGAGAATGCCTGGAAAATCTCGTGATTCAGCAGTTTCTGCATTGAAACCCTAAACCCTAAACCCCGAGACCCTAAACCCTAAACTTGAGTCAGATTTGGATGTTCGGAGATCGGAGGTGGCTGCCTTCAAGAGTTTACCTGGGAGTTCATAGTCAGCTATAAGCGGGGTTATAAGTAGGATAACTGTACTTATAACCCGTGTTAGGGGACTTATAACCCTACTTGTAGCTACCCCTGAACCTCCAAGTAGAGACGGAAACATATCCCGAGCTCCGCAGATCACGAAATAGGCGCGCTGCGAAGGCTACGAGTGGATAGCTAACTGAATGATTCTTTTAACCGTAGGCTGGGTCCCAAAGCAGTGAGCAATGACTTCCTTTACAACATATCATGTACAGGAACATAGACCACCTTGCGTGATACAGCCTACCCTATATGCCCATAAGTCGAAGTCGCTAAACGTTCAACCCTAAGGCCCTGAGGCCCCCTACACCGGTTTTGGCCCAAACCTGCCTGGAAACCAGGAGGGATCAGGTGGCAGCCGCTTCCTGAGCAAGTCATGCAGCCGAAATGGGACATCGTATCATCATGCAGTCATACGGGGAGGTTCAGGGCTAGTTAGAAGTAGGGTTATAAGTCCCCTACTATGGGTTATAAGTACAGTTATCCTACTTATAACCCGACGTATAACTAACCATGAACCTCCAAGTACGGCATGAGGTTGAGCTGTCTGCGGTAGCTGTCAAAGCAGTCGAGGCACAAGACGGGTCTGCACAGTCGTGAAGCGTGCTCTGTCGCTCGTCGCTGAAAGCCCTGCCGCCAAGCTGCGAGATGTTCAGAAACACGAAGCGCAGGCTGCAGGAAATCTGAAGAACATGGAGGACCAACCTGTCAGCTTGAACCTAAAACCCCCAAAGTATGTAAAATATTGGCCCAATACCTGTTAAAGGCCATTATTCTACATACTTTGGGGTCCAGGAATGGCTTTAGGAGAAAACCTTTGCGTTTCTTCGTTTGGAAAGGAGACGGTAAGATTCAGGGAATAATAGGGAACAAGCAAGCCACCTCCACCACGCAATGATTCAATCACTAAACGTTCCCTTCTGCGTTCGAGACATGTTGAGAACCTAACCTACCGGCAGCTTGTTCCACCCCGCCCTTTCTCTCGCTGAGGCACACCGCCGACTGCGTGGCTGCTAGCGGCAGCAGACCAGAGACTTGGTGCAGCCGGAGCGTCAGCAGCTGGCAAGCGCTAAAGCTTCTGGCACTCCAAGGGTTCGGGCATCGGCCTTGGGGTTCAGAGATGATGCTTTGGGGAGTTCGCCATTCGAATGCGTAGAGAAACGCACTCGTGGGCGGATTTGATTGACAGTCGCACCATGGAGGCATGGCAGAGATTTCCTCGTCCTAAACCCTGGCCCACTGAAGAATTCAAGTTGTCCAGGTCGTATCCGGGCGGAAACTGCAGAGGCCGGAATGAGAAGTCCTTGGCCTCCAAAAACAAATTTTGCAAATTCGCGGCGATGATGGTGGGATTGGCATCTACCAATGTCGATTTCTACAGAATGGTGCACAAGATGAACATAGTCGTGAGCACTAGTATCTGGACTTACTAGCAGTTACTAGCATGCCTCTGTTATTCAGGTCGTAATTGGAGCGACCAGATTCCATAACTGCGCATGTTGACACGACCTGCCACCCTGAACATCCAAAGCCTGCAGCGTGGCGGGAGCTCCCGCCACCGCCGACATCGTGGCCTGAGCAAAAGGCTTCATAGCGCCATGGGCCCTAAGCCAGTCTCACATCCCGCCCTTCATCAACTTCATACACACCCCCAGACTCACCCCGGACCTGAATCACTGAAGCATTCAAGGACCCAAGATCCTAAGGACTTGCACCGACAGCCAAACCCCAAACGCCAAACGGGCTTTAAAGTCTTCAGAATCCCAACAACCCAAACAGCTAATGTAGAAGCTTGAAGAATCAACAATACTCTTGAGTGGGGCCTTTTGCAACAACTAAATTATTCAGGCCCCTTGTATTGCTTGTGAAACCCAGACCCCAGACGTAGATCCGGAACTCCCAACCCCGCCCCCCGCCGCCCCTTCCGGTCCTATCTTCTAAACAACAAACCGCAAACCAAAAAGACAAAAACTCTAAATCCCAAATTCCACGAACAAAACCCTCAAACACTTGCAACACCCTGACAGACTCGTTGTAGAGCTCCTTCAAAACCCTTACTGGATCCTTGACGAACCCACAAAACCCAAAGGTCTGAAAACTCATACCCTGAATGTATAAACCCCTCTTGCCCTAATCCCCAAACCCCTAAACCCCTAAACCCGTAAACCCTAGATCCTGAACCCCAAACCCCTTGGACCAAAACCCCCGGCCGGCTCGGAGATGTCGCGGCGGAAGCCCGAGGGCGCGAGGACGATCTGAAAAGCTTCTTTGACCGGTTTTGGGGGTTTTGAGGGGCCTTTGCTGTTTTGAGGGTGTCAAGAAGGCTTTGCAGGGGCTTAGCAGATCTACACTACTCTCATCTGCTTTGGGGCTGGGCTGTGAAGGATTTCAGTTTGCGGATCTGTGCTGAGGGGCTTTGGACGTTGTAGGGCTGTTAGCGGGGTGTTTCGGATTCAGCCGTCAAAGTAAGCCCGAAGGCCTCCATTCCGGAATTCTGAAACCACAAAATCCTAAACTTGGGATACTGCTCCCCATACAGTAACAGTCTATAAGGGCTACGATTAAGGTCCTGATATGTCTATTATCTACATTCTGAATATTATCCAACTTTTTCTGGTTGGGGGAAGTACCCAATCCTAAACCCTAGACCCGAAGGAACGATTCAGCTGCAGGGCTCTTTCTAGCAGCTTCAAAACCAGACCCTACGGTTCTGGGTTATGGGTTTTGGGTTTAGGGCTCAGGGTTTGGGGTTCAGGGTTTAAAACTTAGGGCGCAGAGAGTGGCTTCGAAGTCTTTCTGGAGGAATAGGTGGGCGCTGAAGCTCAAGCTCTGAAAAGAAAGTGCTTAGCCTTCGTCGCATAGATGATCAGGTAGATAGCTGCCGCCTATGACAGGCTTGCAAGTTTAGGGTTTGCGGCGGTCATCCACCTCTTTTTGACTCCATCGGAACAGCAGTGAACATGCGAAAAAAGGTGGCATCGGACATCTCTGACCCAAAATCGTGACCACAATACGGTTCCTTTCTAGCATGACCTCGATCCGTACAGAAACAGATAGGTCGAAACCCGATTGCAGGCAGTCTTTTCTGCTTGTGCCAAAGCCTGAACCCAAACCCGGACACTGTCATTTACCAGCGTGCAACCATGCCAGTATTGATGATTGGCATGATTGGCGTCTTCGGTGCTTTCGCGTATTGAGCTCCCTCAAAGTGCTTCCAGTGAACGGTTTAGAAGGGTTCAAATACCCCGGTCCGACCAAGGAAAGCAGCGCTGATAATGGCGACAGAAAAGGCGAATAAGCAGCGAGACCTCGCGGGTTGTGGGTTCAGGCATCATGTAGCGGCCTCAATAATTAGAGCCGGGTTTGGGGGGCCATTATCCTATAATAAGGAACCCTAAGGAATAGTACGACAATTATTTTAGATTCTATGTTCCGCTGCGGTCTCTGTGACTACACTGAGTCGGCCAGCTTGCCCTAAGCGCCGAAAACATGAACCTTAAGCTTAAACTTAAACCCCAAGCCCCAAACCCGAAAGACTTCACCTCAGACGCTAGTGGATCTGAGCTCTTGGAGCAGTGGCTTAAGAGCGCCATGC